CTATCATATAATACTTGTATCAAAATTTTCATCACAACTTTGATCGAAGATATCTCAGCAACTACTTGATCAAATTCGATGAAAATTTTTTTATTTGAATTCTATAAATCTGTAGAATTCAGATAAAAAATATTTCATCAAATTTGATCAAGTGGTTGCTGAGATACCTTTGATCAAATTTTTTCTAAATTTTAAAACGTCTATTATAAAAAACTGCGCCAAAATTTTCATCACAACTTTGATCGAAGATATCTTGGCAACGACTTGATCAAATTTGATAAAAATTTTTTTATTTGAATTCTACAGATCTGTAGAATTCAAATAAAAAAATTTTCATCAAATTTGATCAAGTGGTTGCTGAGATACCTTCGATCAAAGTTATTTTTTCAAATTTTAAAACGTTTATCACATGACACTTGTATCAAAATTTTTAATAAAATTTTGATCGAAGATATCTCAGCAACTACTTGATCAAATTTGATGAAAATTTTTTTATTTGAATTTTACAGATCTGTTGCCAAGATATCTTCGATCAAAGTTGTGATGAACATTTTGGCGCAGTTTTTTATAATAGACATTTTAAAATTTAGAAAAAATTTGATTAAATATATCTCGGTAACCACTTGATCAAATTTGATGAAATTTTTTTATCTGAATTCTACAGATTTATAGAATTCAAATAAAAAAATTTTTATCAAATTTGATCAAGTAGTTGCTGAGATATCTTCGATCAAAGTTGTGATGAAAATTTTGATACAAGTATTATATGATAGATGTTTTAAAATTTGAAAATAACACCACTAGTTTCCGGTTTCCAGTTAGGAAACTAGTGACTTGTAAGAACGTTTTGGATTAAGTCGCAAATAGCAGTGGAGTGGTTAAAGTTAAATGTAGAAGAGAAAAATAGAACCACGGTCCATGTAGTTATCACTGTGCACGGTTGCATTTATGTGACCAACAAAATGGGTTTACAAGAAAAACTGGTTAGGAGTCGCGTTCCTGTAAAATGTAGAAGCGCGAAAGCAGCTACTAGGCTTGCACGGCATTATGATTTTAACTGGGGAGTGGGCTTAGGACTTCCTGGGGTAAAGTCAGTAAGCTCTAGTCATTTTGTATTTGTGTAGATTTGATCGCCATTATCTATCCTACCTTTTTCATTGGAAATAAATATGTGGGTGACACCTAAAGTGTATGATGAGCAACGGAGCGGTGACCATTACTCTTTTAAAGAAGCCTTAAGTGGGCAATGATTCATATACTTTATAGTGTCTGATGGGAGGATGCGCTCATCCGAGGGTATAGGAAGTACCATCGTAGATAATGTCAAATATTTGATGACTTGAAAGTTAAACTCATAGCACTTTCGTGGGTGAAAAGTGCCTTGTTGGCGTGTATACGGATAAGCCGAAATGCGTTCAGAACGTCTGGAAACAGGCGGCAGTGAGTGTAAGTTATCTGAAGCAACTGTAGGAAACTATAGTATTTGTGTGTACGATACTTATGCGAGCGAGACCTCCAAAAACAGGGAACCTCGGTGGGAAGACCCCTTAAAGGAATCCCGTGCTTACCGGAAACGATATGCCGTTTGTACTATTCAGCAAACAAGGTGAAGTGTCACTGCTTTATAGTATGTTGCAGACATTTTCGGATAGTGTAACGACTGTAAGTTGGTCGGTGACTAAATGTCACTTAAAAGACAGTCTATGTAAAGGCATCAGAATAACTACAATATATCCGTGACATTGTAGAAAATCTGAAGTAAATCTCCTTCAAGATAATACTTGAGTAGAATTTCCTGGAGAGCTATAGAACTGGTCATTCTATAGGCGAATTGGAACCTATATGGATCCAGTAGGTCTTTAAAAGATCGTGGAGGTTGTCTTATACGAGATATCCCCAGACCTTTTATAAGAAACTTCTAATCTGGTGAAGTATTTGGGAAAGAGGAGCTTTCTCGAAGGGATTGCGAGCATAGAGAACGCTTGGGAGATAGTCCTTGGTAGTGTGGTAGCTACTATAAAAATCACCACATGTGCCAACATTAAATATCCTATCGTCGTAGTAGCCGAATTGATGGAAGGGCCCGGATAAATAGTCCTTGGTGTACTACCGGGTGCACTTAGATAGGTAACCGTAGGGCGGTAACAGCCTCAAGGTAGGGGGAACACCAACTAAGGCCATGATTCTGACATGGTCTACCATTCCATTTGAAACCATTGAAAGTTTTCTTAAAAAGATTATACTCCGATTTACCACAATTCTTTTCACCAAACTCAACTATGCAGAGATTTTTGCCTCTCCTGCTACTATTCCCCCTCTTAAAGTAGAAAACCGTATTCAATTCTGTATCAACTTGGCACGCCTTCACCTTTACCTGTCTAACAACTATCAGGCCATCAACTACAATAAATTTGCCGAAGACTTCAACCTTCGACCCAAACCATTTACCTTTAGCTCCCATATTGTATCTACCAATCAAAATGGAAAATACCTTACAATCAAATCAGACAACAAACTCAACGTTAACCTTCTTTTTAATATTCCAAAAAATCTATTTCTTGAAAAATTCTCTATCCCT